TATTTGCATTATATCTGTCTACCTAGCTAACTATTGATCTATCCATAAGCGTTCTGAACATTTTGGGAAAGATATGATCAAGTAAGTCGGGAAATCCCAAATAATCACCCCCTTCGGCCTAATACCAGTGCCCTTTGCAGAAAGTTTCGTCAAATCTCTATTAAATTTTGTTTGATACATTTGATGGATAGAGGTGACCAGCGCAATCTATACAAACCGTATATGTATTATTACGGAAAGTTTTGTCAAATCCCAATTCCATATCGTTAGATAGATTCGATGGATGGAGTTTGTAGTGAACACAATATTAAATAGTCTTCGTGTTAACTTCGGCAAATTTGACCCAGATATCTAAACGTGCCTATCATATTCAATGCGTAAACAAAAGATCTGACCCACCACAATGCCTACTTTACAGTTTCCCCTCTGCTGTTTTGTCCTTTCACAATAGATTCGTGGGTGGTTGGAAGTCGTCACTGGTTGATCCTACTTCTTTACTTTCCCTCTGTTAATTCTGTCCGTCTGTCTGTCTTACATTTTCCCAACACTAAATGTGAGATGTGCTATCAAAAGAAGTTACTTCTCACAATCCAGAAATATAGATATTGGTCAAAAATCGACACTAGGGTCAAATCTGTAGATTTTCCATTGATGTAATATTCTTTAAGTATAACACGCCTTATATTATTTCATGCTTATAAATTGTAAAAACTTCACCTATAAGCGTGATGTAGCGATTTCCATAGGGCTCGAATCCGAGAGGTAACTCATTTAGTCAGTACCCTTCACAAATGACAATTACTGTGACCATTTGCTTCCCTTTTCTCAAAGAAATAAACTAATCCACCAGTTTCAACTCTCTTACCACTGCGCCACTCAATTGTCTTTCGAATTCAAAAAGAGTTGAGTTGCAGTTTAAAATGGTGCGCCAGTCAGTTCGACAACGGTGACATTTCGTCAGGATATCAGTAGCACCGAACAGAAGTTGACGGATAGAGCCATACCAGTGTTCCCATCGACCATACTGCCTCTAAATGATCTGGCAGTGTCTAGGGGGATGGCTGAAGCTAACTAAAACAACTGATCAGGAAGTATCTCGTTCAAGAACGTACCAAAAACAGGGGTCATGGTATGAGTCGCCCGCGGAAAGAGGGCGGGG